GCCCCGAGTCCCCTTGAGGAGATGGTTGGTGGAGTACAAAAATAAAGTTGTTGTTGTTGTTATTGTATTGTCGAAGGCTTTCATGGCTGGAATCACTGGGTTGTTGTAAGTTTTTCCAGGTTATATGGCCATGTTCTAGAGGCATTTTCTCCTGACGTTTCGCCTGCATCTATGGCAAGCATCCTCAGAGGTAGTGAGGTCTGTTGGAAGTAGGAAAATGGGTTTATATATTTGTGGAATGACCAGAGTGGGACAAAGGACTCTTGTCTGCTGGGTTATTATTATTATTCTCTCTTTATGCTAAAGTATTTCAAGTCTGTTTCACTAAGGCTCCTTCGACATTGCTCCTATATCCCAGGATTTGATTCCAGACTATCTTCTTATCCAGATAATCATGCTGTGGAGACTCATATAATCCTAATGAAATCAGATAATCTGGGATCATATCCTGGGATATAGGGCAGTACAGAAGGGGCCTGACTGTGTCTGAGCCAAAGTTTGTTGCTACGTTGTTTAAGGTGCACATGTCTCTCCTTAAATTAAATTGAACTGTAAAAAGTAATTTATAAGGAGTAAAAACATGCCAGTGCAAAATATGAAGTTGGGATGGGAATTGGTCCTAGGGAGAGAGACAAATGGGAGTTTTTAATTAAATTTGCTTTTGAATGGGTCAGCTCTTTGAATCCCTCAATTTCAGAACAAGGAAAAATAAAATCCACTTATATATGAACTTGACAGGTGGTAAACTTTTGTGAAGATGTTTATCCTATCCATTGTCAATCTCCACATCTGTAAATGTAGCACATACACTCTCATGTGAAATATTGAAAAGCTGCCGTGTTAGGGATAAGCATACGTATGTTTCGTCTTTGTAAAACTGTTGTTTGCTTTAATGTTTTTACTATTACCTTTTTAGGTTTTTGGCTAGATGAATACTTCATCAAAATTGTTTCAGTTGAAAAGGTCACTTCATGGAGGCATGCCCCTCCAAAATGTAGGCTATTCACGAACCCTAATGTCAGGATTTTCCATACTGCTTGGGTCCAAAGAAGGTAGATTTGAGCGTCCTGTAAATAATAATAATAATAATAATAATAATAATAATAATAATAATTCACTGGAACTTGTGCCACAAATACCATCTGCCTGCGACAAAGAACTGGTGGGATCACAAGCCAGAAAAAGTTACAGAGAATGAACACGTCAAACTCCTCTGGGTCTTCCGAATTCTGACAGACAGGGTTTTGGAGCACAATACTCTGATCTCACGATCATGTTAAAAAACAAAGTATGGATTGTCGATGTTGCAATCCCAGATGACAGCAGGATTGAAGAGAAACAACTGGAAAAGCTGACACAATATGAGGATTTAAAGATCGAACTGCAAAGACTCTAACACAAGCCAGTAAAGGTGGTCCCAGTGGTAATCAGCACTAACAGCTGGTAAACTGGCTGGATTTCTGGGAGTTGTAGGCCAAAACACCTGGGGACCCATAGGTTGAGAACCACTGGTTTAATTCCTTGATTTCAATTATCTTTCATTCAAGTCACTTATTGAATGATTTTCAGGGGGAAGAATAACAGGCCCTGCACATTTAACTAGAAGGTAGGCCTTTGTCAAATTTTTGGTGCTCTGGGAGACAATAATTGGCTAAGATCATCTGGGGAGGCCCTGCTCTCTGTCCCGCCTGCATCACAGGCGTGCTTGGCGGGGACAAGAGACAGGGCCTTCTCAGTAGTGGCCCCTCGGCAGTGGAACGCCCTGTCTGCAGATATCAGATCACCCCCCTCCCTGCTGGCGTTCCGGAGGAAAGTGAAGACCTGGCTGTTCGAACAAGCATTTGATTAAACAGTGTAATTGAACATAGGAATACGGAATAATGGATGATGAGACTGGATTCTGATTTTACTGTTGAGGCGCTAATGATTGCTATACGGATGTTTAATGATTTATGTTACAATTGTTTTTAATTGCCCTATACTTGTCTCGTGATGTTTTGTATTGATGTTGTATTGATTTGAGTCGCCTGAGGGCTGAGGAAAGCGGTATATAAATAAAGTAAATAAATAAATAAATAAATCTTACCTAAAGCAGTGATTAGTTTGAGTAAGACACTTGGAAGGGAAATACTATGTATAGTCACTGTAGCTTATGGAGTAGGCTTGTGGATAGATGAGTACATGAAAAAGATCAATTAGATTCTGCCCACATCAGAAAGGTACTACAGGAACAGGTATTACTTTTCTCTCCACTATAGTTCAAAAAGGAAGAGATGTGTAGAGGGCTTTTCTTAAGTTATGTGCTCAGTGAAGTGGTGGATGAAACTAGGGGAAAATGCACTACAATCTGGCTTATCACCTACTGTAGAGTTAAGACTTATTTGGCGGTTCATAGATTTCCATTCACAACACTAGAAAATTGTTCCATGATTTCAAAATTATTAGTCATCCTTGGAGGTACCTAGAATTTTCTTAAACACATCCAGATGCAGATAAAGACAAAAGACATTTAGAATTATGAATTTTATTCACTAAAGCAACATTGAGGAATTTTTACAATGCAAGTTTTTAATTTTTTACAAGCAAGTTCTGATATACAGTATTTATTTAGATTTTTTTTTCAAAGAAATACTATGTAATAAGGGTACTTTGCAGCTAGTACTGAATTTAAGACAAATACTAACACTGCAGGTAATATTTTTTGTGGTGCTTTTGATATTAACATAGGCAGTGAGCAGCTTTACCACAGCAGTGATCAAAATATTTTCAAACTTTCCTAGAACATGGTTGTAGATACATCTACAACCATGATCATGTGTCAACAGGGCATGATCTACCAATGTCAAGCACTTAAGTTCCACTGATATTCACCAAGAACAAACTCTCCTGTTAAAAATCAACAGCTCTCAAAAGTGCTTATCTTCAAGCTGGAGTTTGTCCATTGTTCAGAGAACCACTGCAAAACAGATGAAAGACAGACATTCCAGAACTTAAACCCAGTTTAAAGGGTGCAAAATGTATCTCTACCAAAAATAGATGTTAAGCCAAAAAGGTAAGTCTGTTTCTCCCAAAGCATGCTCATCTACCAATATTTGAAAGTCTTCATGAATATACATGGAGTGACACGCAAGGGACAAAATAAACCACAAACACCATTCAAGTATCTAAGCTGCATTATAACAAATAAAAATCAGTATTTGAGATGGGGAATCTACTCATGTGGTCAGTGGCTGGATTCGGAGTCTGTACCACATATTTGTCTGTGAACCACTTGAAGGTCTGTTGAGTAACACAAATGATTCACTCAACCATTCTTTTTTGGGAAGGGAGGGAGGTTAGTATTGCACATTGGCTTATCAACACTTCAAAAATTATATCTAAACAATACAAACATGAAGGACAATCCTCTGCGAAATAAAGTATCTGGCAATGATTTCTCTTTCCGTTCAAATTGTTCCCAATTTTTCAGAAACACTATGAAGATTGTGGATGCCATATAATTGGCTGCTTAGTACAACGAACTTTCGTGAAACCAAGCCATGTGATCATGGAACCATGTTGGGAGATAATGAAGAGCTCGTAGCATACATAGAAGAAGCTACAAGTATTTCATGAACTACATCATCTGTGGTTGGTTTTCATTAAATAATAATAAAAAAAACCCTCCCAAACCCTAACATCAATGATCAGTGAAAATTGTCTCACTGATTCAACCACAAGTACTTATTTTAATTTTAGGCACAATTCCAAACAATGGAGCTCACAGTTTAAAGTGCAAATTAGTTTTGCTCCAGTTTTGCATCTATTGTTAAAAGATCAGTATTTTAATTATACACATTTAAGGATTGGTTTAATACTTTAGGAGTTATTGCATAATGCAAGAGAATCCAAACAGGATAAAATGCACAAATCTTAAAATTCTAAATATCAACCAAGTCCCCACTGTTAAATATAGGTATTTAAAATAATTGTTCTTCCTAGTACTAAATCCTATTTCTTTACTGTAAGTGTCCATTTTAGTAGAAATTTGCACTTACACCTCTTGGAGTCTTCATTGAAAGCCTGACATTTCACAAAGAACTTCCTACAAATGGTAACGAACCCTCTGATAAACCTAACTAAAAGTTTTTGTCTTTTCCTCTGAACTTTCTAAACATACATTTCAATTTCTTTTAATACTGGCATTTTCAGGGAAATTTGTGCATCCTGTTAAAAAAGTTAGACCAAGATATGATGGTAAAAGCCATCATTTCCAGCTTGTGATGAGCCTTCCAGAAACGAAATGTATATGTTTAGAGCACAGACCATTTAGGCTACCCTTATTAACCCTTACATGCCATTGGTTTGCTATCCTCAGCTTGCCAGTCTGACACTTGAAGAAAGGTATGGTTTGCAATGCTAAAATTATCTTTGGAAAATCTTTGTTTTTCATAAAGTACTATTCGTACTGCTAAGGATCAGAAAACTTGTTTCTCCAGTGCTTCCTTTTCATTAACTGTTGTGTACAATCAAGTGATTTTACTAATATGATATATAGCTTGAAAACCAGTAGAGGTGCATGGCTTGAAACTTATGCAAATTTTCTTTGTTTCAGAAATTGTTTTGATGCAACTGCTTGCCTTAGGAAAGTGACAACTCTTTTGCAAAAACCGCTTGTCAGTTCAACTTGTCCTGTGACATCAATGTACATTACAATGTCCAATTTCTCTCTCTAATTCTCTGTAAGGCGTGACTGAAAGTGACATAACAAAACTAAGTATGAAACAAAATTTAGTCACATCAGTCCTAAAACACTTGGCAATAAAACATTTCTCTTTAGAAAGATGAATCTAAATGGGTGAGTTGATGAAAACTCTTTAAAAATACAGTGGTTGACATATTGGAATATATTTAAGAACAAAACTGTAATATACTGTGGGATTCTGTTATATCTGATCAAGGGGAAGGCCTTATCTGAATCTTGACTTCAACCAGAATGAAAAAAAAGCTTTTTTAATATATACTTAAAATGATACAATAGCTGCCATAACATCTAAGGCAGAACTGCATGCTCTAAACAAGTAGTCTATCACATCTATACAGACATACTCAGTATAAAGAGTTCGGTTTAGTCAGCCCTAGTTACGCTACATGAATCAGTAAGTTGGTCTGTATCTCACTGATATCCAAGATTTGTAGAAGTACCGCTACAATAGAAAACAGCTGTACATTATAAAACTTAGCTGTCACGTTATCCCATCAGTTATCACTTTAAGGCAACTGAACTCTGCAAGTCATATGGTAATTCATGAGCAAAGTATTGTGCAGCTGAGAGCAGCAACTAAGAACACTTTACTGCACATCCTTGCAAATTTTAATGACATGTAGATACTTGGGTGTTATAAAGCAAATGCTAGTTCAGTCTTATCATTAAGGGACTAAATTTGGTGTGTATATATATATATATTCAACATCCCTTTTGAGAGGCAACTATGTTTGACTTAAGAAGAGTCAGAGCTACAAATGCTCTAAATTAAATTCTTTTCTCACTGGTTGACCAACAAAGGCTCAAACCCACTATCACAGTGTCCTCAACAATAACTTCATTTATCGCTACAAAAAAACAGCATTTGATATTGCCATTTCTAATTTTTCTCCAGCTGATATCACAATATGATATAGATATATGTTTAAAAGGTATTTGTGTTTGGCTTTGTTTTGGATTATTTTTCTTTCAACACTTCAATGCATGCTTGATTTGTGGGCCTATATCTACACTTTGTGCCATCTGACTGCAAGGCTCTTAGTACAGAATATCTCTAAAAGACTCATCAGAAAATCAGTAATATTAATTACTGAAAGATAACATTTCTATTATGGGGGGGGAGAGAGATTGAGAGAGAATGTGTGCATGTTTTATGGAGCTTTTAAAGGAAAAACTTTTATTACAAAAAACATATGGCAAACATTTCGAGTTGCCTCCTTGAGACTCACAGGAGCAACAGAAATCAATTAATACTGTTGTAATAAAGTTAATCTCTAAAAGGAAGAATGTGTGTCAAAATCTTCAATATGGAGCATTATTCCCAGAGTTACATCATATACCATTTCACAAGAGTCTATATGAAAAAGGGATTTTGGACATGTATCCTAAAAATTAGGTTTCTTTTATACCACAATACCTGTAGAACACAGGAGCATTTTACAGATTATATACAAGACATGAATGAACTGATACTTAAATAAAATCAAGATCCATTTCACCCAGTGAAATTTTGTGAATAGTGAATATAGATCAAAGAAGCAAAAAGCAGTCTGGAGATCACCCTGGCCAAAACAAAATGGAAAAAAAAAGCTCAAACTCTAAATATACATTTTTTCTAGAAAGTTTTGGGTTGGGTGTTGTTATAAATAGGAGCATTTTGCATAGGCTTCTGAGATACAGAGTCAGAATTATGGCTGAGGATAGAGATAAAAAAGACCAGCTCTGTATAATTTCTCCATCATTTATAATTAAATATATCAGAACCAAAACTGTAGCCTTAGCCACCTATTATTATTCAGTGTTCCAAATAAATATAAATAGATTTCCCAGAAAGTAACCTGTCCAACTGATAGAAATGGTCTGGCAACCAGTTATCATTGCAAACTTTACTATTAAGCCAAGCTATCTTTAAAGGAAGGTAGGGTCACTGCAATTAGTGGGTAAAGGCCTTTATGGACCATGTTTTGAAGAATTTCTAGATGGCACAAAATTAAGAGTGATTAGAACAGAACAGGTTGGAATCAGAGGAAATGCAGTCTTTAATAGTTATATGTTTTTGACGAAGGATCGTGACCAAGAGAAGAACGGATGATGATAAGCAGCTTCATAATACAGGACATTGAAATGTGCATATGAAAATTATACTTTCAATATGTCTTTGGTTTAGGGAGGCGGGACTGCCGACTAGAACTCAAACGTTCCCCAGGTTGGACACTTGAATCTTGATGCTGTATATTTTCCTTCGCTTGCATCGTTTGTCTTGAGTGGTTTGTCTGTGATGAGGGGTTCTGATGCTCAGGAGGCATCATGACTTTTGGGTTTGTCACTGGCTTGGGATTAAAGGAAATGGCAGGAGGACGAAGTTTGGAGTTTCTCTGGCTCTTATTACATAAATCAAACTGACTGGATACAGACTGTGGTTGTGCTGCACTACTTGGTCGCAGCAGCTCAGGATCTTTTGAAGCAAAGGTGCTATTCGAAGAAGCTGCTTCTGCTACAGGTACTGAAGGAGGCACTAAAGCATTCTGCTTTGGGAGTTTGGTAGCTCTTGAAGTCTTTGGCAGCAAAGCCTGGTTAGTCCGTGAGCAACTGGTTTTTAGAACTGGTTTGGTTTGCCCCCCTCGAGCATTCATTTTGATAGCTGATGATGAAAAAGAGGGATGAGAATGTAGTGTATTCATTTTTCTATCAGTCAGGTCTTTAGGTTTCTCTCTAATTTTAACATTCTTGACGGAATGTGCATTTTCCTCTGACTTTTTCTCATTCAATTGTGTATTTAAAGTGCTCAGTTCATCTAGGCTACTGGCACAGGAGCCATTTGCAGCATGTTGATATTCTTGGCCACCCTGCTGCAGATCGTCTTGATTGAGATGTTCATTGTGGGCCGCGATGCGTGATATTTTTGTTAGTTTTCCCTGGGTGAGGTCTGTGAAACGGGGAAGGAGACTGGAAGGCTGTAGTATTTGAGGCTATAGGAGAGAAAGTTGCAAATCAAGAGATAGGGTTAAAAATCAATCAATATAAATACTTCACAGTAATAGTTCTTAGAAACACAACTTCTACATTAATGTTTACATACCAAAGGCAAGTGAAAATACATTCCAGACCAATGCAAGAGCAAAGGAATAAAATCCAGCAATTCCAAATGAATTATGAAACACAAAAACATTAATTGACAACTGTAGCAAAAACTAACAAGAAGCCTGAATAAGCATTTTTGCCAAAACGGGGTAAATTTTAAAAGAAGTTTTAACAACTGAGAAAGAATAATTTCACAAATAAGACAACGTAACAATGAGTAAGTATGAATGAGAAGTTACTTTTATCATTCTGGTTAATATTCATAGGATAAAGCTATTGGTGAAATTCTTAGCATTGGAGGACAAAAAACCCATATTTTACAAATTTGAGTTAGAAATATTTCACAATGCATTTCAAAGATACTTTTCATCAGAAGTTGAGATGGACTGAAGGCTTGATTATATGGTTACTCTAATTAGGTTATCAAGTTCAAATAGATTTTAATAAAGGTACTGCATAACTATTTATACAATGTATATTCTGAAATTCCTGATTTTACACTAAAGTCACCACTTCCTGGATAACACTATAAATACATAGTTGAAGAGTGGTTATACACTATTCATTTAATGTATAAACAAACAATTAAGGTATGAATAGTATGTGCACACAATGACCTATACTCACCCAGTTTCTCAGGTTACACAATCAGTGGTCGCAGCTTGGGTTAGATCTCTCCTTAAAACTTTGAAGTACTACTAGTCAGACTGAACCAGAGTTTTTTCCAGACTAGTGTCATCCAAAAGTTTTGGACAACAGCTCTTATAATTCCTGCTTCTTGGCCATACCACTTGGGAATGATAAATGTCAAAGTCTATGACATATGGCAAGACTTGGAGTTGGCACCAGTGGCCTACACAAAGTATTAGGTTCTCTTTATTTTATATTTAACTAGCTGTCCTCTGCCACGTGTTGCTGTGGCCCAGTCTGTGTATATGTGGTTTGTGTGTGTGTATATGTTTGTATATATTTGTGTATATGTGTATATATGTATGTGTATATATGTGGTTTTGTGTATGCATTATAATGCATTTTTTTTGTTTTTGGCTTTTTAAGTCTCTTCTGCTGTGTTTTTCAGAGTTTCTATGAGTGATGGTCACTCGTTGGCCAGAGGTGTATTGTGTCCAAATTTGGTGTCAATTCGTCCAGTGGTTTTTTGAGTTATGTTAATCCCACAAATGAACATTACATTTTATTTATATAGATTGTACCAAAGGAATTACTGACACTCATTCTCCCTTTTATTTATCCACTTTTATCTACTATTTTTATTTATCCACTAAAGATTTAAGTTTAATGAATCAAGAAATATAAATATGATCAGCAGAATGAAACTGGTATACAATCAGTTCCAGATTTTCTAGAGCACTACTTAGACGGAGATATATCAAGAAATAGTAAATGTGGCTCGTAATCGTAAGTGAAATCATGGCATTACAGTGGCAGATGTAAGACTATGTTCATTTAGGAATTATCAATTGAAATGAATATATTTACTACTATTAATATGTTGATTCTATCTGGAGTTGTAGGTGGGTGACTTTGGGGGCAAGGCAGGCATGTAGCCGGGGGGGGGGGGCTTGAGGGGCTTCAGCCCCCCCCCCCCCGAAATTCTCATGGTGGTTCGCGAAAAGGCCTTACTGGTGCATTATTTAAACTGCTATGTTTATTCATATCATGATCTGATCACTATACTCAATATATCCCATATGCATGGGGGTATTGGGGTAACGATACAAAAGGTTTGCTAGGGTAGACCCTCTTTCACTCAGACTCAGCCCCCCCCCCCCGAACCAAACTCAGCCCCCCCCCAATCGAAATCCTGGCTATGGGCCTGGGGCAAGGGGAGAGGGAATACCACAATTTGCAGAGACAAAAATGTAGCGTTTTCCAGAAAATTTGGATTTTAAAAAGCATAGAAAACAACATCCACCATAAATTAGTAACATCATTAAGCAGCAGGAAAGAGGAACATGGGTACACAATAAAGCACATGCACAGGTAATTGTTTATACAAAATTCCAAAGCAGATGGATATTCAAACAGGGAGGGAGGAGCAGGGGGCATTGGAACATAGCAGGAATTCTGAACTCTTTGGCAAGTACAGAGGATAAAGGGCAAGTTTAGATGTACGGTACCATTTACAGAGGTGACCAGATAGCTAGATTAGGGAAAAGTGCTCAAATCTGCAATTTAAATTCCCAACAGAATTCTCCCTCTGCACAAACTCAGCATCTGGCAGTCAGACCATTGAAGGACTTGGAAAATACTGGACTACTTCCCCGATCCCATGGTAAAAATACTGGACTACTTCCCTGCTCCCATGGTAAAAAATGGTAAAAATTGAGGTAAGGGGGAACATGCAGGAAAACCTCACATACTTTAGAATAGGCATCCTCAAACTGCGGCCCTCCAGCTGTTTGGGCCTCCAACTTCCAGAAGCCCCAGTCAGCTTGTTCAATAGTCAGGAATTCTGGAAGTTGGAGTCCCAAATAGCTGGAGGGTCACAGTTTAAGGATGCCTGCTTTAGAATGAGTGAGATGCCTTTTAATACCAAGCTTTTATTAAAATGTATTCTGTACATATATGTACTGCAAAAATGTGCATGCTATACATAAAAATGTTCATGCTGTACATAAAAATGTACACACTGTACATTTTATGTATAGTATTTTAATGTACACCATGATTATTTCTCTGTTCATACACAAGATCCATTATTTCACTACTCAGACAATGCTCTCTTTGTGCTTGTCAATCTCCTTTCCCTTCTGTTGACCTTTAATCTAATGAACAGAGCAAGCATGGTATGGAGGTTGAAATGTTGGACTATGACTTTGAAAAATAGAGTTAAAATCCCTGCTTGACTATAGAACCTCCCTGACTGATGTTGAGCACATCATACTCAATCTCAGAAAAAGGCAAAGGCTGCTGAACAAATCTTTCCAAGAAAACCCTGTGACAGTCTGAATGAACTAGCTTAGGGATGTCATAAGTTAGAAATGACTTAGGTGCACAAAACCAACAACAGACATCCTAGAATAAAGATATTGGTTCAGCTCTCCTGACCAGGATTCCTGCTTGCAGTCAGACAGTTCACTATGCCCATCAACCTGCTATGGCAAGACATCCTGCTCCATATTGGGAAACAACCAACATATTGGCTTACTCTGCTGGAAAATAATACCTATAGAAAAAGGAACTTAACCCAATCTGAACCTAGACAGTAGGTATGAAAATAATATTAAAATAATCGAAGAGATAAAAAAGAGAGAAAGGGGCCTTTCAAGTATCTGAAAACCCCAATAAGGATATTTTTTCAAGTATTTTTCTTTCCCATTGCCCACCTGACTCACCTATTCCTGTCCCATATTATTTCCTGAACCCTGTCATATATAATCCTTCTGACCTCCTGTACTCACGTCTTAAAAAGAGTTGTAAATCTCAAAGCTTCACCTCCCCCACCTGTATTTTATCAGATATGTAATGCTGTTTCAAAAGGAATAGAAAACAAATTCAATCTACAATATAATGCATTCAATCTACAATATCATGCTTGTCTGCATATAATGAAGACAAGAGTCCTTTGTCCCACCCTGGTCATTCCACAGATATATAAATCTATTTTCCTAGTTCCAACAGACCTCACTACCTCTGAGGATGCTTGCCATAGATGCAGGCGAAACATCAGGAGAGAATGCCTCTAGACCATGGCCATATAGCCCAAAAAAACCTACAACAACCCAATATAATACATTGTTTTTGAACCTCGACCAGATGGGCAATACACTACTCAAACATGCTCTTATATTACTACTTCTTATACATCACATTTTTCCCAATAGGAAAGGGAACAATATTCATGTATTTACATCTTTAAGCAACTCAAGATAAACTTCCAATTTCCTGAGGTGTGTCTGATGCCTTCACTTCTACAGACAATCCAAAGTAACTATTAGTCAGACTGAACCAGAGTTTTTCCAGACTAGTGTCATCCAAAAGTTTTGGATCATTTTAAAGAAGATATTGCTTTTTTAGTGTTCCATATGAATGTGCAGATTTTGCCTTGTTATACTGGCTAACACAATTTGTTGCTTCACATGTGCTTCCTCGCCACAACTTTGTGCTTCTACCATTTTAAAGTTGATCTTTTTTTCAATGTCCCATGTGAATGTGCATATATAATTATTTATTATTTACAAAGTACATTTTCTTATTTTAAAACACGTAGCAAAAATGGGGGGGGGGTATTTGATGGGCCAGAATGGAATAGCATTTCAATAGCAACATTCATTTTGAGATAAGAGTTTTTTGAGTTAAACTGTTTTTCAATATTAATATCAAGTCAGACAGAGTTTACGGTATGGTATAGTATGGGATATTGCATTAGGTCTATTTTTAATAGTAATTCTCAAGCAACCAAAAACTACATTTATCCCCCATGGGTGCTGGTTAACTGAGAGTCAATTGTATGTTTTATTACTTTGTTTTAAATCATTTTAATATTATAGATAATTGGAATATATTTGCACAAAAACTTTTTGTATTTTATTTACTTCTTGCATTATAAGTAATTTTAACTATATTTGTTTTTATTTTTGTTAGATCCCTTGGAAACCAAGTATTGGGGAAAAGGCAGGAAACATTGAATATCACCACCAGGCATGTAGCCGGGGGGGGGGGGGGGCTGCTTGAGGGGCTTCAGCCCCCCCCCCCCAAACTTCTCATGGTGGTTTGCGAAAATGCCTTACTGGTGCATTATTTAAACTGTTATGTTTATTCATATCATGATCTGATCACCATACTCAATATATCCCATATGCATGGGGGTATTGGGGTAATGATACAAAAGGTTTGCTAGGCTAGACCCTCTTTCACTCAGACTCAG